AATATGACCACTAATGAAGATTTATCGGGAAAATAAATATAAGAAAATTTTTTTTTGGTTTAAAATTTTTAATGTTAATTTATTTAATGACTATATATTATCATCATTTCTCTGTCTTTAGATGCTTTCCTGTTACATCAAAACTCAAATAAATATCACTTCTGTTTTCAACATTCATGTTAAAGAAAGACAGAAGTGAGATTTATCTGAGTTTTGATATAAATGGAAAGCACCTATTCTTATAAAAGAACTGTATGTAACGACTTACCATATGATCACTGGTAAGTCGTTGCATATAGTACTTATTTCTACCGCACTCTCAACCTATTCGCTCAACCTAGTCGCCATCGTCAACTCAGAGTTTCACGGTGAGTACTCCGGAGCCTTAAGTAACACGCGCGTATATCTGTAATAAAACTAGATGTAAATATAAAGGTCCTCACAAGGTTACATCCGGACCCAGTAAACAGGGCGTAAAAAATAAACGCAAAAATATCTTCATAAAATTCTTTTAATGTGTATGCAATTTTTTTTATTTTAATTTTATTATTAGTCACTAAAGAGAATTCAAGTAAATGTGAATTCGAAACGTCTAATTAAAGGATTGTAATGGCTGTAACGTATAAACGCCATATATATAATTAATATATATTTATCTGTGATAAAATTTAAATAAAGCTCAGATTAATTCTCGAGCAATAATTAAAATAATATTAAACTATAAGGTTATGAATATCTTGATGTCGCTAGTCCAATAAATAAAGGGATCAAAGAAATATAATCGACCAAACTAGCCAGAAATTGATTTATTAGTACGACGTTTCGACCATATGGTTGTGGTCCTTATCAAGTATACACTGGAAAGATTATAAATGATTACTAAATTAGTTAACGGTTTAAATATATAGTACGCTCAACGAATTATAATATAACAATTTTAGTATACCGATGTAATAAAAATCAGGAGACCGGCATGGATGATAATCTTGTAAATTGCACAAGTCACATTATAAAAAACACGTTATTTTAACTTTTGAATTCGAGAGAAATTAATGCGTCTGTGAGAGACTTCGTCAAGAGACTAAACAATAACGATATGAAAACTGAACTACATGACCTTTATTACTTTGTCGTAAATATTGTTTAAACTATCCGTGTCTTTCTGTAGGTTGATTAAATTATTAAATTTCTTGATGAAAAACATCTCAGCAATTTCTCTCTTTCGTACATATTTTTCATTATGCAAGATATTGGGTTTCAACCAGTCGAAATCGTGTCTGGATTCCAATCTATGCCCGCTAATGACCGAGTGATTAGATTCGTGTAGCTTTATATTATTACAATGTTCTTTCACTCGCGTACGTAAATGTCTTTTTGTTTGCCCGATGTATGATAAATTGCAATCTTTGCAGTTTAATTGAATTTAGTAATCATTTATAATCTTTCCAGTGTATACTTGATAAGGACCACAACCATATGGTCGAAACGTCGTACTAATAAATCAATTTCTGGCTAGTTTGGTCGATTATATTTCTTTGATCCCTTTATTTATTGGACTAGCGACATCAAAGATATTCATAACCTTTTAATTTCGCTCCTGGACCTAAATATGGAGCTAATTCGCACTGATGACTTTTTCCAACATGTTTCTCAACGGTTTGATGACACTGCACAACGTTTTTAAAATCTTGGATAAAATGCAAAAAGAAGATCTACACTGCAAAACAACAATTTACTTTTTTGATTCCTTGCAGAAGATATGATTTGATTCCTACACATATCAATAAAATAAAAATTAGTGTCACGTTTCATAGTAATAGCATCAAACGCAAATTTGATAAATTTAAGAAAGATAATCAATATAAGTTGTTGAACTTTGAGATCGAAGATCAAAACATTAATTTAAAGTACCTATATAACAAAATCAAAGACATTGAAAAACGTCTTTTTGAATGCCTACCACATGATTTAGTAACTAATTTTTTTGAACTAAATAGACAGAGACTCACCTCTTTTGACTATAGTATAAAAAACAAATCGATCAAGAAGTTTAACAATTTGAAACTAAAATACAACAATTGTGTACATCCTTTTTCAAACATTGACAGGTCTAAGTGGTTTGTGAACATCAGCAGTAAAGACATACCTGACACGGTTTCTGACTTGTGTTTGGGTGACAATTTTGCATTACCTATCGAACAGGAACAAAAAAATGATCGCACTAATTACGTGTTGGACGTGGTTAAAAATTTCGAAGTAAATAGCAATATTTTGCCCACTGATTCCATTGAACCAACCAGGATTTCCGTGGCAAATATTCTTCATAGATTTCTTTCCACCAAGAAACATATCACCTATTGTGACAGATATATCCTCAACTCGTACGCGGAGGATATATCCTTTCTCCAGGAAGTTTTTACGGGATAACAATAAAGATATTATGGTCACGAGAGCCGACAAAGGTCAGACTACCGTAATTATGGACAAAAAAGATTATTTTGACAGGATGGACGTGCTGTTGAGTGACCAAATCACATATAAAGAGTTGAAAAAGGATCCTTTGAAAAAATTAACCAGTAAGATGAATGGGTTAGTCAAATCTTGGCTCAATAACAACTTGATAAATGAGATGACATATAGGCATTTAAATTGCACTAACGGCAATTTACCGCGGTGTTATGGTCTGCCGAAGATCCATAAGGTTGGTTTTCCGTTGAGAATTATTGTATCTGCTCTGGGAAGCCCGGTATATAATATCTCCAGTTACATCCACAATTCTATATAAATCGATAAAGAAACCGAATTCCTACATCAAAGATGGTTGGTCATTCGTTGATAATATTAAGAACACAGTTATTAACGATGACAATGTTATGATCTCGCTGGATGTAACTTCTTTATTTACAAACGTCCCCAAAGATTTAGTTATAAACGCCATAAAAAAGCGATGGGACGATATTGCAAAAAACACTAAATTTAACTTATCTCAATTTTTATTTGCAATAGAAATGATTTTAGACTCAACTTGCTTTTCATTCAACGGAAGTTTTTATGAACAGATCTTCGGCACTCCTATGGGTTCTCCGCTGTCACCTATCCTGGCTGATATGGTGATGGATGATCTTGAGACACAATGCTTAGACTCATTGGATTTTACTGTTCCCACTTACTATAGATTTGTAGACGATGTTTTTGCAATAGTGCCACGCAGGGGAATGGAAAAAATTTTAATGAATTTTAATAATTATCATGAACGATTGAGATTCACTTACGAGATGAAAGTTGATTCATCGATTAGTTTTTAAAATGTAAAAATCATTCGATCGGGGAATAGGCTTATCACCAACTAGTTTAGGAAACCTACATGGTCTGGGAGGTATATTAATTATTATTCAAACCACCCGTTAAAATACAAAATTAACACTATTTATAATTTGGTTGACCATGCTGTTTTATTATCTAATGATTGCTTCCGACAAGAAAACATCAAGCTAGTACATGACACTTTAATCAATAATTGTTTCCCCGAACATATTATACATAGACACATTCAAAAAAGAATCAATTTTTTAAATAATCGTGATCTTAATGATACCGTTGACGTGAATCTCACTCGTTCAGATAAGACTCAATTTATTACAATACCATATGTAGAGAATTCGAGTCATGACTTGTATCGTCTTTTGCGGGATAGCGGCTTTAACGTCGTCTACAAAATAACAAAAAAACTAAATAATTTAATTAGACGCGGTAAAGATTCCTTACATAACAATGATAAGACAAGTGTAGTATACAAATTAAACTGCAAAGATTGCAATTTATCATACATCGGGCAAACAAAAAGACATTTACGTACGCGAGTGAAAGAACATTGTAATAATATAAAGCTACACGAATCTAATCACTCGGTCATTAGCAAGCATAGATTGGAATCCAGACACAATTTCGACTGGTTGAAACCCAATATCTTGCATAATGAAAAATATGTATGAAAGAGAGAAATTGCTGAGATGTTTTTCATCAAGAAATTTAATAATTTAATCAACCTACAGAAAGACACGGATAGTTTAAACAATATTTACGACAAAGTAATAAAGGTCACGTAGTTCAGTTTTCATATCGTTATTGTTTAGTCTCTTGACGAAGTCTCTCACAGACGCATTAATTTCTCTCGAATTCAAATTTAGTTAAAATAACGTGTTTTTTTTTAATGTGATTTGTGCAATTTACATTATCATCCATGCCGGTTTCCTGATTTTTATTACATCGGTATACTAAAATTGTTATATTTTAATTCGTTGAGCGTACTATATATTTAAACCGTTAACTAATTTAGTAATCATTTATAATCTTTCCAGTGTATACTGATAAGGACCACAACCATATGGTCGAAACGTCGTACTAATAAATCAATTTCTGGCTAGTTTGGTCGATTATATTTCTTTGATCCCAATATTAAACTATGTTGAAACATGCGAGAATATTGCAGGCAAAGAATGTATTTCCAAAACAATACATTTGCAATACATACATTAGAATCTTTACTTACATTTGCAACAATACATTAGAATCTTTAGATTACAAAAAGAAAAATCATTTACTTAAACTAATTTTCATATTTAAAAAATATTTAATAAATAATTTTAAAAAAAAAATATTTGTTAAACATTTTGACATACAATTAACAAAAATATTAATTATGTGACAAAATACGCTATTATAACAATAAATAAAATATGCTATTATAACATAAAATGTATTCTGTCATGTATCTACATTTTACTAATTTTATAACATAAAATTTGTTGAAATTATAGAAAATCTATATTGATAAATGAAAAAATATCTACTACATATATAATATTAATTACATATAATTTTTTTAAACAATAGATATTCTATATTTTAATATAAAGAATGTAATTAATTAATGTAAAGGAAAAAATATGTTCTATTATATCACATTAACAGGTCCATATACGTTAAAATTAAAAAAATTAAATATCACATAAAAACGATACAATGTTATTAACGTAACACTTTGGCAAGTAAAGAAACATTGAACATGATTCATTCCTTGAATTGTTCAATAAGATGCAACACAGCTATTAGGCAGGATAATTGATTTTTTTTCTGGTGTCACTGATTTCAAAGCTTGTGAAATCACAATTGCATGTGGAAATTCTTCTTTTTTTCAACTTCTTTATGTTTGTACAATGTTGTCAGATCACTGATTGCTTGTGATGATTTACTAAGTAGATCTTTTAGACATTCATTCTTAGTTTTCTTTTTTTTCGAAAAATTATCAAGAAGAGGTACCAAAATTCGCTTTGCTGATTTTTTAGAGGTCTGTGAACTAGGTTTAATATTTTCTTTCTCCGTAAGAACACTTGCACTTGATTCAGAATGTGTTGTGTCCTCTACAGAAGTATCTAAAATCTCTGAAATCAGAAAATAATTGACATATCAAAGAAAAACTTAATATTTATTATTAGAATTAATTATTAGAAGATTTAAAAAGAAAAGCAGATAATACTGTACTAGTGGATAACGATGTAGTGCAATCATTCTAATCAGATAATCCGGCAGAGTCAACATATTGCGTTGCAATATGTGCATGTGATTGAGAAACAGTTTGGACAGATTGAGGAATGATTAAGGAATAAGGTGATTGAGGAACAGAATTAATTGAACAACTGCTAGAGGTTTCATTACATCTGGAAGCTTTAGTCTGTAGTAATGAGCCTCTTGTTCTATACACAAGAAAACAATTATATAAAATAATTATTATAAATCAATTCTACTGTATTATCATATATTTTTTAAGAGAATCTGAATATACGTACTTTCTGTTTTGGATATAAGATTTCAGAAATGACATGCATGACATAAGAGGCCATTCTATTGTTGATCCTGATGGCACCGTTTTCTGTTGTCTCAACTTTCTACTAAATTGATTTCTCAAGGAATCTCAACTTTTTTTGCTTCATTACTTACAAAACAGAAATATTGAACAGATATTCAACAGTTTATCTGCAAAAAAAAACATTTTAACCTTACTTGTACAAATTAATGTCTTAGCAATTGTTTCCCACTTCATATCTTTTACTTTCTGATTTTTATAAAATGGATCATTTTTTGCATACAAGCAAGGATTTGCTTGAACTATTGCAATTAAAACTTCATTATTAATATTAATATTAATATTATCGTCTTCATCAATGTCTGACATCACGACGAAATAAAAATTTACGTGTACGTTTTTCGGCGACTTATGTTGGTCGAAAATTTAATCTTTAAGAGCTGGGATCTGACTCGCTTGAAGCTTAGAGATTCAAGCTTGAAGCAGCGCGGGAATCATTTTCTGGCCGGAAACTACGTCACACTTACGGCTTAGAGCAACAGGCTAAAAGCTTATTACACCTATTGTAGACCCGACCTTAAGGCCCAAGCAGAATCTGAGTCAGATAGCATCAAACTAATTATTGCATTTATGTAAATCAAAAAATAAAATATACGTATTTTTTGTTTTGACATTGTTGCAATTGTTTATAAAAAATTATTTAAACAAATTATACCGAAAGTCGTTATTTTGAAAAACTGACTATACCAATCGATTCTACGGGAAAAATCATGAAGAAAATCTAAGTAACATTCTTTCGTCAGAGTTCAATTTGTTAGTGTAACATGGTTATAAACAATTGCATGATGGGGAGTGAAATCGACCTCTTCAGACAATTCAAACAGTTCTTATGATAAAAATTATGAAGAATTGTAGTTTTATCTAGTACGAATAAATTATTTTTTAGAACATTTGGGATGTTCTTCTTTGTGTCTTTTGCACACGGGGATAGTACATTTGGTACAATAAAATTTAGTTTTTACTGAACATGTTGATGTTCCACATTTTTTATAGTTTCCAATTCTTATCTCATGTTCTTCTGATGAACAAACAGTTACTTTCTGTCGTTTACGAGAATGTGTATGGGATATCTTTTCAATATAATATTCACAAACCTCCTGAACAATATTTTTAGAACCTTTTTTTGCGTCTGGATAGAGCTTATTATAAATTACTCTAGCATTAGCTAAGGATGCTTGGATGAGTCGTAGAATGAGATACCATGTCCATTTTTTATTCCGAATTAAAGGCATCAATGCATTACAGTGTTGGTCATGAAGATCGACCCCACCCATGTTTGTGTTATACATAGAAAATGCTTGTGGAAAAAGAATGGATTTTTTAGACGATTTATGCCATCTCTGCATTTCAACTTTTGGTTCATCTCCGTATTTAGTTGAGAGAATCGATACAGATTTTGAATCCATTGCAGTAATATAATTCAATTTTGAATTTTTTTCATGAAGAAAAGGAGAGAAGGTGGTTCCTCTCTCGGCTTTTTTTGGCATTTCAATTTTCCTTTTGACGATTTTGTCGAACAGTTTCAGTCGCCGATAATCCAATTTTCTTCAAATGAATCATAAGATCCGGATTGGAAAAAAATTATCAAAATACACATGGTATTTACTCAGTTCTTCTTTTTCAGTAGTTCCTAATAAATTCGAAAGCAATTTCATAACTCTACTCTAGATCCCAAACAAACGGAAATCAGAGGATTCCGTGCATCAGTTCCTGATGCGCCTATATAAATATCAAGATCATATATATATATCCATCAGAAGAACAAAGTACCCATAACTTTATTCCGAATCTGATGGGTTTATTCCTGATACACTGTTTGATACCAAACCTCCCAAAATATTTCACCATTACCTCATCTACTGATAAATTGTAATCGAAAAAACCAAATTGCATACAATTTTCACGGATCAAGTCATATAGGTATCTAACCTTCCAAACTTTATCATTCTCATCTGCGTATTGGAGCTTATAAAATCTGATGTACTTTTTGATGATAATGAATTTGTTCCTCGCCATAAGATCCGCAATTATTTATTGGACACTGTAAGATTCACTTTTTTGACCAATAATCACGTAGACTTTTTCTAGAGTTGAATATAGTGATCATTATGATTACAATAAATCTTTCAAGATCATCTTTACTCAAATCGAAATTGTTTTTGTAAGTGGCTTCAATGATATGACTTTTCATCGAACTCGAGAAAAATAACTCAAATAATTGTAATGAATTCTTAGAGTAAAGCGATGAAATAGATGCATTATTGAAGCTACAGTTATCATCATCGGCAGGAGTATCATTTAAAGCATTATTTTGCCAATCGTAAATATGATTGAGTTCTAACAATTTTTGAGTACTAGTGTAAGTACTTCTTACATGTTCGTAAGAACCTGTAGAAAGTGCATGAGATAATATATTTTCATCTAGATCACAATCAAAATTTTCATCTGAACTCATGTTCAGTAGGAATGAATGCTGCATCGATATGTTGATCTTCATCGATATCGGCATCCTCAATTAAGCCAGATAGATCTGTAATTTTCCGTCTTGGTATTGTCTGTTGTGTTATAAATACGAAATAGTATAATGATGATGAATTCAAAACTTATCACAAGAAAGACAAATTCATAAATTCATTCATACAAAATAATTCTATATCTGTAAATACGAATATATGGCTACTCAGTGGATACTAAGAAGCGTAAATATGTATGCTTCAAAATAGTTTAGTCTAATTCTTTGGATAATGATTTGGATAGACGTATCGCAAATATGTATATTTATATATCAAGGTTACTGTTCGGATCAGTATGACTGCTAAGTCTTTTACTAATTGAAACAATTGATGTTTGCGCAGTATCTTTGTTCGGTAACCTTTTATATCAATATTTCGGAGATTCGATTATTTATAACTATTTAGGACTAACAAATTGAACTCTGACGAAAGAATGTTATTTAGGTTTTCTTCATGATTTTTCTCGTAGAATTGATTGGCGCAATCAGTTTTTCAAAATAACGACTTTCGGTATAATTTGTTTAAATAATTTTTTATAAACAATTGCAAATGTCAAAACAAAAAATACGTATATTTTATTTTTTGATTTGCCCATAAATGCAATAATTAGTTTGATGCTATCTGATTCAGATTCTGCTTGGGCCTTAATGGGTTAATAAAGAAAAATATAACACATTTATTAAAAAGAAAATAATATAAAAAGAAAATAACGAAATAACAATTTAAATAAAGGCAGATTAATAATAATAGTAATTAGAAAATTCGAAATAATATAATATAACAGATATTAATTCGACAGCGGTAATAATAATAAATCAGATGGATCGAATGTTTGCACGAAATTGATAACATAAGAAAGCACTAAGTTGTTCCTGGTTTATTCTAGCTCGTTTTTATGGCTAGGCTTTGCGAGGTCGATCGGCGTTTCGAAAATGTAACGGAATTTCGACCATCTACTCGTCGAATTCCTGTACAGATCTTTTCTCTTTTTCTTTTTCCCTCGCTATTCTAATAGACACCAATATATTCGACAGTTTGCATAATAATCGAGAGAGAATGATCAAGTAATTTGCGAAAACGGAGAATCGCGTTTGCGACGAGGACGGTCGATGCGATCGATATTTGACAGCCGTCGGACGCCGTTTACTTTTCTTTCGGCGTAGTGCTTCTTTACTCACGTGCAGTTTTCGAATTTCGGCAATTTCTTAATTTGTTGTAATTTATTCCGCATCGCGACACACTCACACGCACGGCAAATATCTCGCAATAAGCGTAAATCATACACGTAACGAGCGCGACAAGGACAGCACGATATTCGCAACATCACGATACAAAACGGTCATACTCTCACATGGACGCTAATTAATACACGAAAATCGCCCGAAGATCGATTGCGGGGATGTCTTACGCGGCTTCGACAACTCTTTTCGACAGCACGGATAGCGAACGCATTTCCCGTGATTTACCGCGCACGTGGTCAATATACGAGAGCCGGTCGCTACGCGTTTTACGACACCTTGAATCCCGGAGAGAAATGAATGGTTCCTTCCGACTATGACCGATATTATCGTCCTTGATGCCTTGGTCGCTTGTCTCCGATTGCCCAAAATACACGAAAGCTCGGTACAAAGACCGAGCGATAACGAGAGACACGAAAATGGCGACGACGACAGAACGGCCGGCTTACGGACGGAATCGTGGCTTACAATATAGTGATGGGCAACTTCACCGATACTTGTTCCCATGGATAGGGGATGATCCTCGGTCTCGTCCTCTCGTTCGGATCTCGTTTGTGACACACACACAACGACAATGACAAAGACTATCAAAAGCGACTATCCGTTATGAAAGCTCGCACCAGAGTGTCTCCCTGGATCTCGCGATCCAGAGTCGATCCATCCTGCGCGCCCAGAAGCGACGTTCATCCTGCGCACAAGGGTGCGCGGCTTCGCGGCCAATAGCGCCGCGACACACGAGATATTAATGCGTCCCGCAACAACGCCGTATCGAGAGCCGAAACGGCCCCGATAATTTAAAAATCTGAATTTCGGCGACCCTGATATCGGTGATCCCTTTTTTTATGCCGATCGTTCACTCTCCGTTCTCGGAGGGTAGCGCCGACCGGACCCTGTTATTCCGGTCCAGGACAGCTGTTTCTTTAAAGGTTTTTCTCCTTTTGCTGTTGGGGCGAATTCCATTCGTGACTCTGCGCTAATCCTCGGGCGCTATCTCCGTGACTCTGTCCTGATGCTCGGGCGCTATCTCCGCTCTCGATTCGAAGGCTGGGAGCGCCATGTCCGTTGTCGTAAAAAGATCCCTTCCTTCCGATGTTCTCTTCTTTAGATTTTGCCGGCGGGTTGTCCGACGTACAAAATAATATAATAATATAATAACGTATAAAAAAAATTAATTAATAATGACGCGAAATACAACAATGGCTCTCTGGAGATTTCGATACGGCTCCCACAATCTTTTTCGCGCGTCGGGATAACAATGTCACATGGTATATGATTGGTATATGACCGGTGTATAATCTACCATTTTTTGCAAAAGTAAAAATTTTAACATTTATAATATTTATAACACTTATAACAATTTATAATATTTTTATTTTACACTTATACACTTTTATTTTCGTCTCCAAAAAATTTTAAATTTTTATTATACAAATCCGATTCGTTTATAGCAGATGATTAAAATGCACAAACTATCGATTCATTAAAATAAATGAATGTATATTAAACAAATGTTGATTTGTTAGTTAGTTCATTAGAAAATGAAAGAAGAGAACTTGGTTTTGTTCACCGAATTTTATTTATGGAGTCAGACTTCACTCGTGAAGGAATTTTTAATAATCATAATTATCATATTATAATATATTATAAACATTATGCGCTTATCCGGATATCAACATGGATTCCAAATTAATTTATAGGCTGGAGTTGATTGAATAGTATAATTTTGTTCACACTGATATGAACTTGACACTCGACTTTATAAAAATTAAAAATTAATAATTTAATCCATTTGTACTTCATTTATACCTGTTTGTACCGCACTTTATTTTGTTTGTACTTTAAAAAGCAAAAAAATAAAAATTGATTAAAAAATGGTCAGCGCCCAACTTAAAGATATTTTAATTTCATTAATGCAATTTGATAGAGAATCGTTTGTATCTTTTCATTTCGTTTGTACTTCAAAGGGACTGGAAGTATAACATTTTCAAAATATGTCCGAGAGATACTTTCATCATTTTTTTGCGATATCGCAAAACGATCAACGCCATTCGAAAGAGCATGGTTAGCACCCGTTTGTACCTCTTTTCATTTCATTTGTACTTCAAAGAGATCGGAAGTACAGTATTTTTAAAACGCGTCGAAGAAGTACTTTCGTCGTTTTTTGAAATATCGCAAAACGACCAACGCCATTCGAAAGAGCGTAGTTAGCACCCATTTGTACCTCTTTTCATTTCGTTTGTACCTCCGATTTGAAAAAAAAGTATTTGCGTAAAAAATTCTAAAAGTTCTAACTTGTACATTAAAAATATTGTACTTCCGGTTCCTTTGAGGTACAAACGAAATGAAAAGAGGTACAAACGAGTGCTAATCACGCTCTTTCGAATAGCGTTGGTTTTGCGATATCTCAAAAAATGACGAAAGTACGCGTTTTGAAAATGCTGTACTTCCGATTCCTTTGAGATACAAACGAAATAGAGTGCGGTACAAACAGGTATAAAGTACAAACGAAGTACAAACGAATTAAATTATTAATTTTTAATTTTTATAAAGTCGGGTGCCAAGTTCACATCGGTTTTGTTCACACACTTGATGTATTATTAAATTATTATTATATTAGAAATTAATTTTAATATTATGTTTTAGATTGAACCATTCATTTTTCCGCACCATCGATCAGATGGAAATACTTATTTAGAATTTATAACAAACGAACAACCATTACTCGAAAATATCAATAGCTAATCGATTACGTATTATTTATCAACATAATGGAGCTTCTTCTCATATTAAAAGAAGAATAAAAAATGCACTTCACGAAGTGTATTTAAATCGATGGATTGGTCTGATTAATTGGCCAGCAAAATCGCCAGACTAAACTCCGATGGATTTTTTCTTCTGGAGCCATCTTAATCTATACGGAAAATAATTGGTATTAGATATCCACTAGATATTCTTCATAGACATTGAAGATACGAATATATGAATATATGAATATATGAAAAATAGCTATTACAGATGCTATAAACATCCAAATGTCGTCAATTCGAGATTTCATAAATATCTACAGGATATGTAAATCAATATCCTGCAAATATCCGTACAAAATTGTGAATATTTATTATATATAGATACATTTATTACATGTGTATTGATATTTATTTTTGGATGGATATTCATTCAATGTTCTGTATATAGATACATATATGACGGAATTTATTATAAAAAAAAAAATTAACCATCTATGATTAATTTATGCAGCTATGGAGCTCCTCGCAAAAGCTAGAGGAGACGCGACTATAATAGTCTTGTATCTGTAATCCATCTTGTACCTTTGTTCTTTGACCAATAATCCATGACTCGTGGGACCTGTGCTGCGGCATATACTGCATTTCACCTTGACTTTTAAAACGTAGATAATGTTTAAAAATTGCACATAATTCGTAAAACTTTTTTTCTTAATAAATGACGAGCGACACCTAAAACTTTTTGATACTTACTCAGGAGAGTGAACTTGACAACATATGTCGAGCTCATTGAAATCAGTGAGGGTGTCCGTAAAGTGCATAATTACCAAATTTTTATATCTGGAAAACTACTATTTGAAATAAAAAATGCCAATATCTTATTCCTTAATTTTACAAAAATTGGAGATAATGAGTAGTAAAAATTAGTAAAAATTAAGTAATAAAAATATTTGTGATTTTTTTATTCCAAACAGTCATTTTTAAAATATTAGAAATAAAGTCGATCAATTATCCTCAAATAGCACTCTTGTTTGAATCCTACTTATGTGAATGTAATGTTATGTGGTTACACTACGTAATATTCCGAGAATATATTTTTTAAATAACATCTCTTATTTAAGATGTATATTACTTCACATACATTTTTAGAATATACTTTTGAGTAATATGTGTGTGTGTGTGTGTGTGTGTGTGTGTGTGTGTGTGTGGTGCATGTGGGTGTGTGATGTTTGTGTATCACTATATGGTGAACATAGTAAAACCATCTTGTATTGAAATTTTTGTTATGAAAGCGTATACAAGCCTAACGATCAGCTATTAATGTAATATTTAAAATATACTTTATTTCTATCAGTTTAATTCCTGATACAATTCTAAGAAATCGAAAATATTAAATAGATTGTTTAAAATTGGGCAAATAAATAAACAATTGTCTTTTTATTTTTATTTGAGACAAAAATCGAAATTTAATTCTTATACAAAAGTTTACAATAAATGTTAAATCTTAAATTTTATAAATTAAATATACTTTGAGTATTATTTTTTATTACTTTGAAACAATTGTTATAGTGCTATATGAGGTATATAATTATGATATAATAACAACAAAAACATATAAATATAACATTATACTACTTATAAGTGAGAAATTATCGCTAATGTATATGTTGTATATAACATGTTTGTTATATTATACATATGTGTTATATTCTGTTATATTACAATGTAACAGTTACATCTGTGTTTCTTGGGATATATACTGAAGATGTTCTAAAAATATACTTATATTCTAAAAGATACTCTTGGTATGTATTGAGAAGCAGAAAAGTCGTACACAGAAACAATTCTTAATATGTATTTAGTATATTATATACGCAATATGCAGTTTCTTGTATGTTCAAATAATATACTCAATACACTTTTATGGTATTCTTCAAACATTTTTGGAATCTACATTATGTTGTGTAAGACAAGCTACATTTAGACAATATTTATGTTAAATTAATGCACATGATTGAGACGATTATCTGAACATAGCCTATGATTGGCCAGCTCTCTTTAAAAATTCCTATATGTATCTTGAAAACTGTTTCTTAGAATAAAAAATGAGGATGCATTTTTATTACTGGATTTTGAATGAATTTTTGTATTAAATTTTTCTCGAATTTCAGGACATTATACATATACATATACGTACACAAACACACACATCCGTGTACACGCATACAGAGTGGTCCATAATAATCTATAGATAGATTTAATTCTGAAAATATGGAAAATAAGAGAAATAGTATATACATACGGATACACACACACAAACACACACACACACACATATGTGTATGTGACAGAGAGAGAGAGAGAGAGAGAGAGAGAGAGAGAGAGAGAGAGAGAGAGAAAGAGAGAGAGAGAGAGAGAGAGTGTATGTACATGTAATTACATACACACACACGTACAAATATAGGTATATAAATATATTATAATTTTATATATATATATTTATGTATCATATGTATGTGTATAGTTGTGTATGTACATACTGTTCTTTCAATGATAGTACAGTTAATCTTTCGTTATATAATATTAATGCCATATTATGTATACAATTTAATGTACACACTAAAAGACTGCAATACTATATATACTACCATTGAGATCGTTTATTTGCTTACCTTTGTATGTTGTATATTACAATAATCTCTTAAGTAGTACTCATTCTAGTTTTCAATAAATTTAACTTACTAAATGTAAAATAAAAATATAAAAAGATACAAAGAAAGGCACAAAAGTCCTCCTCCGATTTTGAGTTTTTAATATGTTTTTAATATGTTTTCTAGAAATAAGAGACACATTTTTTTTATACGTGTCCATACGTGTATCTAGGGGAAAACACTTCTTCGAAAAAATCTTTTTTCTTTTAAAACAAATATCTTCAAAACTATGAAAAATAGACAAAATTTTTCAAATTAAAAGTTAAATTCCAGACAAAATGATAACACACGTGTGTTATCTTTCATTGCTCGAAAACTTTTACACGTGTTCATACCAGTCAAAATTCAAAAGGATTTAGTTTTCGTATGAATTGATCTAGTTCGTGAACGAAGGGATTTTAATTTTGATGAAACCTTTTTTTTATTAACAAAAGAACGAAAAGTTTTAACACAAAAAATTCGTATTTTTGCGTCAAACGTCTGTCACA